AGTGTATTGCTAGAAGTACCTTCAGTATTTCCTTCATCATAGGAGCCCGCTCACTCTTCCTTTGGACTCTGCAGTCTGCATCAAGGAATACAGTAATTTGTGGGCCACCTGTAGGATGCTTTGAAGCCATACAACGTGAAGGAAGGTTTTCCTTTCTGTTTGGCCCTTCACAATTTCAAAGAATCCAGTAAACTGATGTATTAAGTGTTTTATGTTGGAAAATAAGGCCAGTAAATAATCACAAAGTTCATCAGTTCTAACAGTTGATGGCTAAGGCTCAAAATCACGTAGAGCTTTACCACATTAATGAGGAATTTTTAAACAAGATCAAATGCTGATGTATTTCATGACATATCACTATGACAAGCCACCTAGGTACATAGGAGAGTTGCTAGTTAGCAAGATACAACTCAAGAATTTTTTTTTCTTGCGTTGTGCTTATAACAATCTGAAAATGACAGGATTTTTCAAAATTATTTGAATAGGAAATACAAAATTCTCCAAAATCAACCCCAAGATTCTCATTTAAGATCAGAAAGTCCTTGAATCTTACCTCCTGGTCTTATTTACATACACTGTGTGATACCTGTTTATGTCAGGAAGAGCAGGCTACAACTAGAAGAATTTAACGAGACATTTAATGTAGTGTAATATGTATAGTCTGGAGTTTCTAGAAGGTACAGAAGGAAAGTAAGTTTTCTCAGGAGACATCAACTCTGAGATGGGCCCAGAACAAGAACAGACTTTCCACAGAAAAAGAGAAAGATTTAAAACTTGGCATATTCAGAGAGTAAAAAAAGGCATTTGGTAAATGGTATGGATGGGCCATTAGGAGGAGGATTAAAATCCTGTAGACAGAAAGTTGATGGACCTAAGTAATCTTGAGCAGAGTATGGAGGAAACTCAACTCACATTCAAACTCTTCAGAACTCAGTTTCTTCCACCTCCTTTCAGCCAGTAATTGAGCCTCTTAAACATCAGCTTCGCCCTCTACAATTTCCTCTCTGGGGGAGTGCCGTGAGCAGTGAATTAGGCTGTTTCCAGAGGAACAAATTGATAACTGCTCCCAAAACGGATCTGTTGATTCCCCACCCTTTGGATTCATAGACATGACTGGTTCTGCAGAAAGGGTCTGTAACTGGGAGGGAGGGAGCCAGCCCAGATCCGTCACTGTTCATTTTCCTGAGCTGGAAAACCCTATGTGAGAAAAGGGAAATTTCTACTCAAAGGTATCTACTTTACATTTCTACAGGAGGTTTCTTACTAGCTTATCCCCAACTGTGGAGCATTTATTTTACATCACAGAATTATAAAATTCAAATACATTCAGCCTACAAATTTCAAAACAGAATTGAAAATAAACAGTTTATTTTTCATGCCAGACAAAGCAGTAGGGAGACTGCTGCAAAGATTGATTACAGTTTACAAAGTGTTCTGGTTGTGAGAATTTGATCATAGCTCCAAACTGCTGGATGATGTGTCTGTAAAATACTCCAGTGTAATAAAGCATGACAGTTTTGTTCCCTTCTCAATTCAGGCCATTTTTGATCGGAACAGGAAAGATGAACTACCCAGGTTGCAGCTCGAGTGGATTGATAGCATCTGCATGCCATTATATGAGGTAATTTTTACTTACTGCTCCTGTAGAGTCCAGAGAAGATTGTTCTTGCCTCTCTAGGGAAAAAGAGTTAGCTTACAGTGCAGCCATGAAGGCTATTTGAACTCTTATCTTTCTTTGACTTTAACAAAAGTCTGAATTCCATGCAGAAATCTTCAGATTCCCTGAAGGTGGTAATATCTGTAAACATAACTCCTCTTTAAGTTATAAAAGCTAGTAGGGCAACTGTTTATTATATTTGAGACAAACTGATTCTCATCATGGCAAGGCGTGGAGTGCTCTGCAGAGAGGTGCCAGAGGAATGGCGTCATTAAGTGCTGCTGTCAACCTGTCCAAATATGTGTGACCCAAAGGGAAGCTCACAGATGAGCCTTTGCGCTCCCTTCTGGCTCCTTTCCAAACTGTGAAGGGGCACTCTAGGCCAAGCCTTTGAGGTCAGTGACGAATGATTTGTGGTTTAACCTGCCTTCTGTTTAACTTGGAGTTTACTCTCTTAATCATCCTTCTACAGAGACTGCATGGGTGCTTGGTATAAGGTGTATAAGCTCTCAAGTATTACTTCATTAGGGCTATGGATGACCAGAATAATGCTCCTCTCTTTTTCGTTTAAACCGGCTTCAGAATTTGACTTGTGCAACATAAGCTTCACCATTTTAACTTTTTCTCTCTTCTATGCATAGAAAGCAGAGCTACACAAGCAGGATGATAAATGGAAAATAACACTATAGAAACTTAACCATCAATAACTGTGTCAGCCAGTCTTCCTCCTACTCACTGAAAGCACACAGACTGCCTTATGCCACTAAAAGCTGCCAGTTTGGCCACTGATATCTGAGAAATCATGGGGATGTTCTCTCTAGGCATTTTTGGGGAACTGCAACACGTGCTCCCTGTTACCACTGCACCCCAAACTGCCTCGCATCTCTGAGCAATGAATGAGTCGGTGATGACACAAAGCCAAGAGCTGGGAAGCTGCCATGTTAACATTAAACTCTTGAACTTCTGCCTGAATGTAGCTCCCCTACACACACACAATAATGGATTAGCCGTTCCTTTTCATTTTACAGACCAGATGTGTCACCAGTAGCAAACGAGGTAAGAAGGATGATGTGCTTCCCCTGCCCTCTATACCTTGTGGCATCTGAGGCTGCCACTATGGCAATAATGAAGTGACTGCCCAGCAGCAAAAGCACCTCCTGTTGTGCGACATGGACAACATGCGCTTGTGTAAACAGTGAGGTGGGCTACTGCTTTGCCAGTAGATCCTGTCCCTTTCTTAGCTCAGCCTTTGTCATGATGAAATAAATTAAATCTATGGCTTTCAAACAATTAAGGCAAATCAAGTACAGAATAAGAAAATAAACCTATATTTTTTAAAATACCAAGATAATTTTGGACAATATGGAGCAGGGGGGAACTCACCTCGGACAAAAACTCTTTGAAAATAATGTTCCTTTCAATGTAATAGTTCATATTACACTAGAATGCATATTATACCAGAATTCATGATTTGTAATAGCATCTGTAATCCAAAAATGTACAATAAAGCAGGAAGAGCTGATAATCATACCATCCTCTGCATGAGAAGACTACATCTGAGCACTAAAGCTCTGGTTAGTTAGCTCCATCTTAGCAGGAGATCTCTGGGGAATATATTCACATCTGATTTCCCTGCTTTCTGCTGTCTTTGCATCATGCTGTGCAGCTATTAGCCTGCTGCTCAACAACTTAAAAAAGAGACACCATCAAACCTGGAAGTCATTGCACCACCAGCCTTAGGGGTAAACAGAAAACTTGATGTCATAGTATCACACTGCGGGAGATTCTCTCTTCAATGTGAAGCCAAGTTTTAATTTTCATATCCAGCTTAATCAAACCTCAATACACATATCACATCAGCAGTGTATTCACGCATTGTAAATCCTCCATTTAGGGCTGGCTGAACACTGCAACTATGGCCGATTCCTAGATTTCTTTCTTTTTTCTTTCCAAATACATTCTTTAAAATTCTAGCTGTTGTAATACGTTGTAGGGACTGCATGTGGGGATAGAATGGGTTACATCATTACAAATGCAGCATAAAGAGGCAGAGTGGCAGCTGACAAATTAGTAAAATCTTAGTGGTACTTATATAGCTCACTAGCATAGTGCTTATAAAAACCATATGTTTGACATAAACATTTGACACTCATTGTGATACCAAACTTACAACATTAAACCATAGAGAACAAAATCAATGCTTTTGCATGTAATTTTTTCCATGATAGTGATTAGAAGTCCTGAATCTATGTGGGCAGATCCCAGCATCCAGAGCCCTGGAGGGAATTCTGTGGGGAATGCGTGCGTCCATACCAACACAGTTGCTACAGCAGGACCTAATGTTGTGCTCTGTTTTATTTGCCACCCACACAGTAGAGATGGTCCCAGCAACCAGCAAATGTTGGCAACTCCCGTTAAAGTCAGACAGCAGATCTGAAATTTTCTTTGCTTAAAGTAGTTCCCAAGAGTAGGCTATTCTTGGCAGCTGCGGATGTCTGAAGTATGCAATGCAGAAGGAGCTTCACAGCCCAAACTTCCAGGAGTGGTCTGACACCACCCCAGTGCCGCTGGCAATACTATAACAAACCGTATCTTCTCCACAGTCGAAGATTATGAGCTAGGCTACATACCGGAGTGCCCACGAGGAATGTTTCATACTTAAAACTGTATGTAAACTTTGCAGAGCGTTTTAGAGAGTTATGGCTTTCCTAGCTTTATCTTTTTCCCCTCTGTTCTGAAACATTCTTTGGGACTTCATCAGTCTTCTGGGGAGATTTGGCTCTACCTCCTCCTTATGCATCTGCTCTGCTCTCTGCATTGCCTTAAGGTACCTCAAGACAACCCACTCTGAGGTGCAGTTCTTCTCCCAAGTAAAGGATAATGAAGTCTCTTTTATCAGGGGATGTGTATCACATCTCTCTGCTTACCTGGCCAGAACTGTTTTCTGAGTTTGGCTCCTTTTTGTGAGAAGGTTTACAAGTGACTAGCAAGACTTGTGCACCTTCCATTAGTAATCCTGTTTGCCCCTTGGAATGCCCATCCGACCCAGAAGAAAGGAGGTCAGAGATATACAAAACATGTTACATTATAAACTAACATGGAGCTTGAAACTAAATATATATATATATATATATATAAAATGATAGCTGGGGATATAAAAAAAAAAAATCAGGAATTATACACAGCTAGATTTCCCATATCCAAGTGTCTAAATCTAAAACCTTTTTGTGTTTGCTCTGTAAGCCTGGCTCTACTCCCTTGCTCTCTTCCACATCTGCTGTTCAATGTGGGAATCAAGCCACCTCCAATTTCAGAATACCTTAGTAATCAAATCTGTTTCCTTCACACCATGGATCAAAGGTTTGTGAAGATAAAAGCTTCCCAATTTTTTGTTCATTGCTTTTTATTACACTTGGGACATTATAATTTTATTGAATTTACTTTTTTGTTACTGTAGTGATCACTGATCAGAGTATTTTTATGTGACAGTGGAGTTTTTGCCTTGAGTAGCAGAACAGCCATCCATTTACTCTGAAGCTCTGATTTTAGGGGCTTTAGTTACGCTTTACTGCATCACATTTGTTCTTTATTCAAAAATGCCAGCAAGAAAAGGTTTCATCAGCAGAGATGAGAAACAAGCTTATTAGAATAATCATTTATAAGGAAAAATGCATTTTTTAGAACTGTAGAACATTTCAAATCTACTAATGTAGCTTCAGTATGAAGTAATCATCCTCTTTTTTGGTTGAATATTCTATAAAAGGGAAGCACATGCAACTAAAGCAGAAAATCTAAGACATCCCACTGAAAATAAAGCACTATGGCTACCCTGAAAGCTGTGTTCACCACACAGAGAAAGTATTCTGTACCTATCTGGACATACATGTTCATGTAACAGGGAACAGAATTTTGATCATTAAGACAAATTACCTCTCTGACCCTCCAGTAAAGAGATCCTAAGAGTTTCAACACTAACAGATTTCTCTCCTGGACCGTGTGGTTTCTGTGTACCTAAGGCAGGATCAGTCACAGATTTTTCCCAACTCAGATTAGATTTCTCTGTGGGGAGCAGGCAGAGTGGGAGAGTGAAGATCTTATTCTTTTTAATCATTATTTTTCTCACAAACAACATCAAAGCTTCAGCGATTCACATCAAACAAAAGATGCTAACAGAAGCCCAGCTCTGTTCACAGCATTGTTAGGCAGAGACAGTAATGCTATGAATAGCAGGGCCAAAGGCCATGCACTCTGCTTCTGGGCAGATAAATACATAGTCAGGTAGTCAGTGACAATGACAGCAGCTATTTAAATTTAAGGGAGATGTCTTTGTGGAAGATAAAGAAGCTCACAGCTTTTACAACTTATGCGTGCCTGAGATTGCCCTGCTCACCTCTACCTTGGTGCTCCATTGAACTGCTCCATTTTAGTGCTATTTTTAGTGCTATTCAAGATTTTCTTGGGTATTGAGAGCTTTAAACGTATAATAGTATCTACAGAAGTGAATTTGCATTACTCCATCCAAGATTCTAGGGAGAATCTGGAAAGAGTAAAAACATTTATGTTTAGCCTAGCAAGTACTTTGTATGTTTTGAATGGAATGTGGAGGGACAGAGTCCTTCTTTATCACATTGTTTGACATAGAAAGAAATCTAATCACTCTGTCTACAACTGCAAGAGCTACAGCTGTTATCTTCCTACAGAAGATAATGTCTGGCCTTGTAATTAAATCTATCTTTAGAGTATGATGATGTAGCTGCAAAAGCATCTGTTCTGCTTGTAAGCATACGTTAAATGTACAGGGTATCATAAATGGTAGAGCCTCTACCAAGCATAGAAAATATACACAGCAATCTCCAACAATCATGGCTACCTCTGTGCTTTAACTTCTCCAGTTCAAGAGTTGACTTTGACATCTGAATTGGAAGTGCATATGCACACACAGTGATTTATTTTTTTTCTTCCAA